CGTCCTGGCGACAGACAAGCCCCTTGAGACCCACAACCAGTATTTTCTTTTCAACTGAACACTTGCGGTTATAGTCCCTATGTAACATCCACTCTGACGAGAGGATGGGTCCGTAAATTTACAATTGCTGCTGGTCCTCGCCAGCGCAGTCATTCTCCAAACCGAGTCCAGCGGGACTCATGACCATATTTTACTGTCTCATATTCGAGACTCCCCCAACCTGGAGGGCCAGGTTCCCGTATTCATATCACCCCGGAACAGGGTTGCCCGGTTATACCCCCAGGCACTGGGTTCCTTTTCGTCGCCTTCGACTGGCTGGGCTACGGTGGAGGGATTCGAACCCGCCTCCAAACGGGATAACTCCGACTGCTGAGTCTTATATTACGACCTTCGGTCCATCGGCCATTCTGTCTTGGAACAAAGCACACATCTGGGGCTTACGACCAGATTTTTATTACGGTTAGACAGTGGCGGGTTTGCTGATGTGGGGCGCTCTCTCTCTGATGAGAGGACGGTTCTATCGTTTACAACAGCGCAGTCATTTTTTTTGGGTCCGAGTCCCGTAGAACTCGAGACCATATTTTACTGTCTCAGATTCGAGACTTCCACTTTCGTTGCCTCCTACGACTCGCAGGTTCACGGTGGAGATATTCGACCCCGACTCCACACGGAATGACTCCTAGCTCAAAATTTAGTGTCTCCTAACTCTAAACTTTGTCCCGCTTATAGTCCCTCGGCACGGACCACGTACAGTACACAGCTTCTCTGTTATTGTAGTTCAACTGTTGCTGCAGAGATGCGTTTACTGGACCGTTGCACAGCAACGGCCACGACGCGGACCACAGAAAACACCGTTTCCAGCAGTCCATCTGAAGTTGTAGTTCAGCTGTTTGTTGAAAATCTGCTGCCTTGCAACGGCTGTTGTCTTGTTTGTTTCGCGGTCGTTGTCTAGAAACGCCACACGCCACAGTATTTACAAAAATAAATCAATATATTTGAGCACCAAAAATCTGTTCGAGCGAGGAAAAGTTCAATTTCGTAACCGAAAGGACGTGAATTCAAACTCTGACCCAGATCTCGACTATCCCGTTACTTTCCTCAGTTCCTCCAGGAATTCCGATACAGTGCGTTAAGTTAATCATAAACGCCTCCTTTCGCAACATTTCCAATTCACTGCTCCCTGATGAACCCACCATTTTAATATTACAGAGTATGAGCTACTGATGTGGTTAAATAAATCACAAATACACGTAAATAGAGCTAAAATTGTTCCTGTGTTTAACTAACTACTCCACGCTATCCTTGGCCTCGGCATTAGTTGGAGGTTAGTAGTCAGCTTCAAGCCCCGGCCGCTCTACCACAGGAATATAATTTATTTCAGAGTCTGATTTTCACTATAACTTCTTCAAATCTCACACATATAACCTCGAAATTTCCCACCGTCGTTCGAATATTATATATACACGTATATAAAAGTGGTTTATAAAGAATTTATGCAAAGACTTGTCTCGTATAAAGACCATCATTGAAGCTTAGGTTCAAATGGTGTATTGGTAGCCGCCACTAAACACAAATATCATGCAGCTGGCATGTGTTTTGTATTGCAAAAGAAGGTAAAATAAATAAAACCCATTTTCCGCCGTCTCACTGCTTCCGGAAACTGAATTATGTTGTGTTTGTGTTGATTCAACATCAGGAGTTCCCATAACCGCCTTGTCCGTTAATATTCTGACCGAAAATAAAAATAAACAAAGTCTGGGGTCTCCACTGTGTCATTTATGTTGATACTAAATTTAATCAAAAACCGTCAGTCTGTTCGATAGCTGTCAGAAGAAACACACGACTTTCATGATACTACAATGGGCCTTCATCTCCCCTTATAAATAAAGGAATGGTGTAAATATTTAAATTGAATATTCCTTTAACTTCATGGAGCTGAGCCCTTTTTGAGAAGGCACCAATTGTGCAGCTACTCAAGAATTTCAGAATATTTTATGGAACACGAAGGTTCATTACCGTGTTCACAAGAGCCCTCCACTGGTCCCTATCTGTGCCAGATCCATCCAGTCCATACCATTCCATCCTATCTCTCTAAGATCCATTTTAATATTATCCACACACCTACCTTGGTTTTCGTAGTGGTCTCTTTCCTTCTGGATATCTCACCAATATCCTATATGCATTCCTCTTCTCCCCATTCGTGCTACATGCTCTTCTCATTTCATGCTCCTTGACTTGATCATTCTAATTATACTTGGAGAAGAGTACAAGTTATGAAGTTCCTCATTATGTAGTTTTCTCCAACCTCCTGTCACTTCATCCCTCTTCGGTCCAAATATTCTCCTCAACACCCTGTTCTCAAACACCCCCAGTCTATGTTCCTCCCTTAATGTCAGCGACCAAGTTTCACACCCATACAAAGTCACAGGCAAAACTGTAGTTTTGTATATTCTAATTTTTATGTTTTTGGACAGCAGACGAGAAGACAAAAGGTTCTGGACTGAATGGTAGCAAGCATTACCAGAATTCAGTTTGCTCTTAATTTCCTCCTGAAGCAGGTTTTGATTTGTTATAGTCGTTCCCAAATATCTGAACTGTGCCACATTTTCAAAACATCTGTTAGATCCGCTAAAACAACCTCCTAACATGACGTCTAGGAACAACGGCCTGGAAAACACAGGCTTCACGAAAAATGCCTTATGGAACGCCTTATAATTGAGACATCGATTTGAAACATAAACCAGTGCAGCACTCGTGTTGCATCACATTGGCTTGTCATGAAACAAATCGAATTTAAATTTGCTTACACCCTTTCTCACATCAGTGGCTAGGCCAGTATAGCATTCAGTGTATGTAAACAAGCTTTGATCCTCTACCAATCTGACACAAACAATGTAGAGATGGCATGTTAGGCTTTATCCTTTACAATAAGGTCTCAGTATGAGAGAAAAAAATACAGTTAGTCACGAAGCACACCATGCTCTGTGATGTAACGTTGTGTATTCCAGCAGTTTATCAATGTTTCGGGGGAAATTACTTCCTCAATCTTCAGAGTAGGCCTTGCATGAAACCAACAAAAAGCAGGCGGCAAAAGAAAGCCACCTTGCTTGCCACCTACTTCTTGATTCCAGCGAAAATGTTTAGGTCTTTCTGATTGGGGAAGAAAAATTAGTTTCATGTTCCTCTAGTTTCAGCTGTCTGAGAGCACAGTATTGCTCATACAAATCGGAAGAATGCATTATCTTATATTCGGCTTAGGCATCCGCTAATAAAGAATTCTTGACAGGCATAACTGCAAAGCTGACATATATGAGAGGTTAGGTAGGCTATGAAAGTTATGATTTGCACTGAATGAAGTGGGGCTCTGAGAAAAGGGCTACATTTCACAGACTACAAGCCTCCATTAAGTGACAAGGTTAAGAATTGGAGGAGCTACACCTCCACTCTTTCATTCCTCTTTATGGAATGATGCTGAATTAAGCAGAAGCACAGATTTAACATCTACTTAAAATCTGATGAAAATAACACAAATTTCTGTACTTACCAACTGTCCCACAGCCGTAATTTCAAAATAACTCCAAAAAAAGTCACTGAAGCCTGTATTTATATCTTTTGTAGGTTTAAATTAGGAAATCCAGAACACAAGTGTGTTGCTTCTTCCAAAAACATGAATGTAAACACAACACAGTGAATCATATACACCACACAAGAAGGTTAAGTTGTTCCTGTCTTTAATTAACACTATGCCATGAAAACTATTCTTGACCTCGGCATTAGATAGAGATGAGCAGTCAGCTTCACGCTCCAGTCGATTTAATCCCGGGGAAAGAACCACCAGTGTTGAGGTTATTCTTACAAACATAAATAACATGACAGCTTATCATGACACACGAATGAATCTTGGTGGTAGATACTGAATGCACACATCAGTTGATTTAGCATCATACATATACTACAAATACTACAAATTCTCAATTGCTGCTGATACGCCTACCAATACGGTCAAATTAATCGCGAAGTTGTAACGTCACTCTTTGAAGTTGAATTCAGACTTTGAACCACACGCTACACGCACACAGCATAGAAAACGGAGATACGCAAATCAAAACCGCACACTACTTCCAAATCTGTAAACAGCCACACATTCCACGGGCAAACTCTTCCGATATTGACGCCCTATCAGTATTCATACCGCCATCTTCTTCCCTCCAAAGATATCTGCACCGGCTGTTGACAGTCTACTGTTTCGAGTGCGTTCTCACAGCTCAACCAGGAAAGGACCAGCTATGACCACGATGAAAATAGGGTGTGTTTAATTTAGAATCTACATATGTTAGACTGTAAGGGCGATGGCACAGCAAGGAAACTGGCAACCGCAATTTCCGAGAACTGGTATCATCCTGAGCTGAACACATGTTACTGAATGGAACAGCGCAAACTAGGCGAAAAA